ATTTTCTTCTTTTTTTCACGCTGCTTTGCTACGATACACATAAGCAGTAACAAGGAACAACACAAGAAGAAGTAGACAACAAGCTGTGACAAGCAGTCAACACCACTAGGTAGACCCGCAAGAGTGCAAGGGTATCCAACACAAGTAATTGAAGAACTAGGAGAGTCACAACCACCATCCAAGGGCTCCCCACTACCTAGCCACAACTCAACAGAGTGAGGCACAGACCATGCCGAAGAGCAATATTTCGCCGAGACAGTCGTGCACCTCCTCTGGGCTAGGCCACATCACGTCCACCATCACAGTAGAGAGAACCAATACACTATGTGAGGCAAAAATAAAACTCAAGGCTCGTCGATGACCACCCATCACCCACTTGTTCACTAATGTGGAGGACATCACCAAGTCCTCGAGAGGAACAAGGAGTACCCCGACGAGGAGATGCGTGAGTCGGCAAATTTGTTGCCCACCAGCCACGACACCTCCCTGTCTGTGGCAGGCAACCTCAGTCCAGTCATGCTGCATGGTAGGCACGTCGGATACGAGTCAGGAGGAAAGCGTCGAGATAGTATTCAGTAATGAGGAGATCAAAGTGCTTGACCAGGCGGTATTGGACCATCTTGATCATGATGCAGCTCGAGGACGTGGGCATAGCCCAGTGGTTGGGGGCGCATGATTGTAAACCCAACGACCAGAGTTCGATCCACGTCGGGGACGAATTTTTGGAATTCTCATGAGGGATGCTTCTTCTATATCAATAAACCGTGGGTGCTAGTGCCCATGGAGTTTCATTTTTTTTTCATGATGCAGCCCGGCCAAAAATCCTATCAGTCATAAACACAGTTTCTAAAGGAAAAGAGACACTTCGAGCGAAGGGCATCCGAGCAAGAAGAGGCCGAGGGGTTGTTGTGAACTCGCCAGCCAATTAAAAAGAGCATGTTGGGCGAGGGCAAGGCCGGCCTATTAAGGAAAAGAAGAAAGATGTGCAAAGCAATCGAGATGCCACAGTTACATGCTCGGAGTCCCATCACACGCCAACAGAAATTATGCATGCAGCGGCAGGGGCCCTGGTAAGGATCAACTTCTCAGATGGACATCCAGACAAAAATCGATGGAAGAAAGGGTCTCAAGGAGGGAGGCAGCTTGCCACTGCGAACCTCCGCTCCCCGCTTCATCGGCATCAATAGTAATTATATCATAGTGTTCGAACATGCAAATGTTGAATGGTGCACTTGACCCAACATCACCAAGAATATTGAGACAAGATGGAATGCAGAGACGCCGTGGGAGGCGATGACAGCTTGTGTGATGATGCACAAGATGATTGTGGAGGATAAGGTAACGGAGTGCGGAACGGTCTGTAATTTTATTTTATTCTGAATTTTTGGTCTGTTATTTAGGAAAACCGGTCATCCTACGCAAGGACATTGTTGAGCAGAATCCTGCGACGTCCGAGGAAATTATCCAAATGCATGCATCAATAGACTCGTCATGGAGCTACTCATGAGGATGATGTGGTTCAACATTTGTGGGCGATTCGATTCGAATAAGTAGAATTCAACAAACTCGACATGGAATGGAATGGAAGAGGAAGATTTGTTTGGTCCATCTATGAACACGACACTTGAGATGGATGAGTCTATTTGTCATGATATTCAGCAAGTTTCCACTGCGGAAAACGAATTCCAAACCTCTCCATTCTCTGAGGAGGAAATTCGGACTGCGGTTTTTCAGATGGAACATAATAAATCTCCGGGTCTGGATGGCTTTCCGGTGGAGTTCTTTCAAAATTTCCGGGACATGTTAAAATCAGATTTGGTTCAGTTGTTCAATGAACTGCATGCTCACAAACTTGACATTCCCCGTCTAAATTTTGGGGAAATCATTCTTCTACCCAAGACGAAAGATGCGAGTCGGATTCAACAATATAGACCGATTTGCTTACTAAATGTAAGTTTTAAAATCTTCACCAAGGTCGCCACTAACCGTTTGAACGGAGTGGCAGACCACGTAGTCAAACCATCCCAAACAGCTTTCATGCAAGCACGAAACATTTTGGATGGAGTTGCTATCCTTCATGAAACGGTTCATGAGCTTCATCACAAAAAGTTGAACGGAGTCATTTTTAAAATCGACTTCGAGAAAGCTTATGATAAAGTAAAGTGGCCCTTTCTGCTACAAACATTACGAATGAAAGGGTTTTCCGATACTTGGTGTCGATGGGTTGAGAGCTTTGTGTCCGGAGGTAGTGTCACCATTAAGGTAAATGATGATGTAGGCAACTATTTTCAGACAAAGAAGGGGCTTCGTCAGGGGGACCCCGCATCACCCATCTTCTTCAATATTGTGGCTGATATGCTAGCTACTCTCATCGAGAGGGCCAAGTCAGCAGGTCAAGTCACCGGGGTCATTCCTCATTTGGTAGAAGGAGGCCTATCAATATTGCAGTATGCGGATGACACTATTTTGTTTTTGGATCATGACATAGAAAAGGCCAGAAACCTCAAACTACTGTTATGTGCTTTCGAGGATTTATCTGGACTAAAGATTGATTTTCATAAGAGTGAACTCTTCTGCTTCGGCGAGGCCGCAGAAGCCTCACAAGATTATGCTGAAATCTTTGGTTGTCAACTTGGACAATTTCCGATTTGATATCTGGGTATCCCTATTCATTATCGGCGATTGACAATAGTTGAATGGAAGCATGTTGAAGAGAGATTGGAGAAACGTCTGGCTAGTTGGAAGGCCAAACTCATGTCCTATGGGGGCCGATTAATTCTGATTAACTCGGTCCTTACCAATATGGTTCTCTACATGTTATCATTTTTTTCATCTCCCAAAAGGTGTGCTTCAGCGTCTCGATTACTATAGATCAAGATTTTTTTGGCAAAGTGATAATGAAACCAAGAAATATCGTTTGGCTAGGTGGAACGTCTTATGCCGTCCAAAAAGCCAAGGGGGACTTGGTATCCAGGATCTAGAGATCAAAAATATTGCATTGCTCAGCAAATGGGTATATAAACTACTCACTGAGGATGGTGTTTGGCACGAAATCATTCGTAATAAATACGTGGGTTCCAAAGCAATCTCCCAAGTTTACTGGAAACCGGGTGACTCACACTTTTGGAGTGGGTGATGAAAGCTAAAGATTTCTTTTTTTCCAATTTGGAACGTTCTCGGTCAGGGACGGCTCCCAAATACGATTCTGGGAAGACACATGGTTGGGGAACAACCGCTTAAACGTGCAATATCCAAGCTTATATCGGATAGTTAGACATCAGTTTGTCACGATTAAGCAAGTGTTGGGTCAAGAAAACCCAGATATTTCTTTTCGTAGAACGCCCTTTGGACCTCGTTTGGCAGCATGGGGGGATTTGCTAACCCGTTTAGGAGCCATTCAGCTGTCGGAGGAACCAGACATCTTTCAATGGAAATTGCATCAGAGTGGAAAGTTTTCGGTCAAATCCATGTATGATGAATTGGTACATAATGAGGTCCCAATTGATAATAGAAAACTGTGGAAGCTTAAGATTCCTTTAAGAGTGAAAATTTTCCTATGGTTTCTCAATAAAGGGGTTATCTTAACTAGGGACAATTTGGCACGACGAAATTGACAAGGTTGCAAAAAATGTGTTTTCTGTCACCATGATGAGTCGATTAAGCATTTATTTTTTGAATGCAAGTTTGCACGCTCTGTATGGGCCATCGTCCAAATAGCTTCGAATTTATATCCCCCACGTAGTGCACGTAATATATTCGGCAATTGGTTGAGGGGTATAGATAAACAGTTTTCTGCTCACATTCTTGTGGGGGCGGCTGCCTTATGTTGGGCACTCTGGCTCACCAGGAATGACATTGTTTTTAACCGTAAATGTGTTTCATCTCCTATGCAGGTTATTCATATATGCTCGCGATGGCTCCGTACGTGGTCTATCCTGCAGAAGCCGGAGGACAGAGACCTTTTTATGATGGCGTCTACTCGGCTGGAGCATTCTGCCTGGGAGATTTTCTACCCCCATGGATGGCGGTGTGATCTTCGGATAGGATCAGCTCCTTTATAGGCTGGGCTTTATTTATCTTTGCTTCTGGCTTTTGGCCAGTTTATTTCGATCTTTACTTCTTCGAATTTTTGGCTGTGTGCATCTAGTTATGCAGAGGCCGGGTGATTTTTGATGCGATTATATCAACTCGATATTTCAATTCAATGAAAATCCCTTTATCGAAAAAAAGAAAACAAGCGTATGCGTGTTTTTAGCGATAAAAAGGAAGCAAGTTGAAGCATGGCCGGCCTCTTGGTAAATACTACTCCCTTTATAAATTAATATAAGAGCGTTTAGATCACTATTCGTTTAGATCACTAAAATAATAATTTAAAAGCTTTTATATTAGTTTACGGAGAGAGCAGTACAGTGTAGACAATAGTAGGGAAAAGAGACTCTGAATGACAGAAGCTGTTCTGTTGGTCCCCTCCCCCCTCCCCCCTCCCCTCATTTCATTTCATTTTCACTGCAGCATGCATGGTACTACAGCAGAGACAGTGGTAGTGGAGGAGCCTGCTAATTTATTTGCCTGCCCAAGCCTTTCCGTGCACGGCACAGACGGATAGGATCAATTGCGTTGCGTTGCGTTGCGTTTGCGTTTGCGTGTCTACTGTGTACCAGTGTACGGGAAGGTGAATTGATGAGCCCTATGACTTTTCTCCGTTTCCTTTCCGTGGAACAGAGCAAGAGCAGAGCAGCTGCTCCGCCTTCACTTTCTCCGATCTCATTTTCATCTCATCTCATCCACACCAACGGACGGGCGGACCCATCTCTTCCCCAATTTCGTCGTCGTCGTCGTCGTCGTCTTCTTATTCTTCTTCTTTCCGTGTCCGTCCACCATTGCTGCTTATTTCTTTCTTTAATTCTTTCTTGTCATCGATCTACCTATCCTATATATCTGCTTCCTCTTCTTCTTCTTCTTCTTCTTCTTCTTTTTCTTCTTCTTAACACTGAATGACAATGTGGCTTGGGATCTCCAATTCCAAGCAAGGAGAAGGACAAGGAGCAGTGGTCGCCATGCTTGGCCTCTGCGCCATATCCATATCCATGTCGATGCTGCCTCTCGCCGCACCTACCATCCACCACGGTACGGTACAGTACATACATATTCTTCCCGATCGATGCATCTTCTCCTCCTCTCTCTCTCTTCTTCTTGTTATGTGCTGTGCATGTGCATGTGCTTGGCTCATTGATTCTATTCTATCCTTTGGGATGGATGTGCAGAAGGAGGCGCTCAAGGCGGAGGGGTGAACCCAAACCCAGCCAACGCGCTGGTGGCGCTGGTGAACGCCGACCGGGCAGCCGCCAAGCTACCCGCCCTCCGCACCACCAAGGGCCTCGGCTGCATGGCGCTGCAGTGCATCGCCCGCTGCCTCGCCCTCTCCCCCGCCACCGCCTGCGCCGCCGACGGCACGCTGGCGCCGCCCTGCCACCCGCCGGAGACCGACATCACCGAGGTCTACGCCGCCAATTGCGGGGTCGAGCTGCCCACGGTGGACGTCGTGTCCGGCCGCATCCTCGGCTGCAGCAGCCAAAGCTCCGACGGCGTCAGCGGGGACGCGCTCCACATGGCCAACGCCACCGTGGTCCGCGGCAGGGAGCACGCGCAGGTGGGCGCCGGCGTCGACCGCGGCGGCTTCTGGTGCCTCCTCTTCAGCAGCGGCAGCCCCAACTCCAGCTTCCAGCTGGAGGCCGCCGGCAGGGGCATCGCCCAGCAGCACGGCTGCTTCAGCGACCCCGACGTCACCCTCTCCTGCACCACCTCCGCCGGCCACCACCAAACCGGACGACTCTCCGCCGGAGACACATCCTTTGCCTTGGTTGCTTCCACTCTGCTTTTTCTCCTCCAGTCCAGTCTAGTCTAGTCTAGTCTAGTCTAGTCTGTACCAACTGAATTGTTAAGGTAGCAGAGACACCCCGGAAGATTCTAGTATTACTCAGACTTGTAATTTTGCTATTCAAACAGTCAGTCAGTCAGTGATGAGTGTGATTATTTTTCAAAACATTTGGGGTTCGTCTAAATTTGCCACTGCAAATCCAAAATGCAAAGCACAAACAAACAAATAAGCAGCTAGTAGTATATTTCAGTAAGTACTAGGATTGGATTGAGCACTCCATGTTCATCGTCCACAAAATACTACCTACTACATATATATCATCATGAGCTGATGCTGCAACTTTTTAGTAAAAAATATGTCAAGCCTACATATCTTCCTTATCAAGCCAAACTAAAGTATACAACAACAACAACAACAACAACAAGGAGAGGCGAGGCGAGGCAATTATGATCCCTTTGGTCGAAGCGAGACACTGCAAAACAAAGGGCTGCTCCTCAGCTCACTCCACCATTTTGAGCTAGTTTTACAAGATGCTGCATCCTTTCTGCGACTTCCTCTTCTTCCGCTTCTGCTTCGGAGGCTGGAGAACCACCTTGATCGCCGCATCAAACACCGCCTTGATGTTCTGCACCGTGCAACCAAATCACTAACCCAACACTACAACTAGCCTTCTTCTTCACTACTAGGAGGTGCACTCATTTTACCTGCTGTGTTTTTGAGCTGCACTCGACGTAGGTCGTCGCGCCAATTACCTTCTTCAGCTCTTCACCCTACAATCATTAGCCACAGAGATGAGATCACTATCTTATGCAAGCAAGCAACAGAACATACGCATATGCTATTTATTTTCTCAAGAAGAAAAACAGATAAAGCTTCCGAGTACCTGAGCGGTGGAAATAGGAACAGCTCCAGGGTGATCCACGAAAAACTGCTCGTCATCCCGCAGATCTATTAACATGAACATAGTTGCTGAGTTATACAACATTTCTTACAGCAACAAGTAGCGAGGAAGCAGTAATAGGCCGAAACATGCGGAATAATGTCACTTCTTATTAGACAGCATTTCTTACAGTCAACTGTAATTGGGAATCAGGTACAAAGCAATGCAACTCAATCTCAAGTGGCTACAACAGCACTGTGTTCCACGTGTTCTCAAATTGACTAAACCGTCAGTGAATTTGACAAGAACGTGTGCAGGGCTCTAAGAGGTAATAACATCAAGAATTTCTGTCATACTGAAAACTGAATAAAATCATGTAAAGAAAACAGACCTCGGTATATTGGACTTGAGCCAAAGAATATGGACTACAACCAGATAGAAACTAATCTTATGTTCAAACTGATGTCTAGTCACTGGCATAACAAAGGAAATAGCATTCTGGTCTCTGCAACATTCATTAATTTGGTATACGAGTATCATCACACCTTTATCAGAGATAACCCGAATATCATCATATCAAGTCTTAATTTCACACCAGGGAATTCAACATTAATTATAAGGATCTCAAGTTTTCGAATTAACACAAGTATCTCCAGCAATACTAAAAGACACGAGTCTGCCATTTTCTTGTTTAAGGACCAACAACAATCTCTCAGCTGGTTCTTAGTAGCAGAAAAAACTACTTGCTTGAAGGGATATATGCCATATTCCTGTATTAGAAAGTATTGGGCAGCAGGCATGCCTCCATAAAATTCAAATAGCTTGCTTGCTTTCCGTTCAACCAAGTCAGCAGCATTTCAACATGCAAAGATGGGTAAAGATGATATTGAAATATCATAAGCCTGCAGACCATCATCAGTGACAGTACAAGTGAACTCATGGCAACAAAGATGCCTATACTTAGACAGGGATTTCAGACTACTTAAAGCAGAAGCAATGCAATAGGACATAAAAGGGCACGCCAAGCATAGTTCCAGCAAGAATGACAGAGAAATGTGATACTTTGCAGAAGCATAACATAGATAGGAGACGGATGGGGGCATATACCAAGCTTTGTCCCAACAAGAATTATGGGCACACCAGGAGCATAGTGCCGTAGCTCAGGGATCCACTGGAAAATTACAAGCACATGTCATATCTCATAAGCAAGATAACAAACAATTTATGAAACTAGAACAAGTCATCGAGAGTGGGAGTAAGGAAACAGAGAGGATCAAAGGAGGATGGGTTGCCTTCTTGGTGACATTCTCGTAGCTTGCTTTGCTGATAAGAGAGAAGGCGAGCAGGAAGACATCGGCACCTCGGTAGCTTAGTGGGCGTAGTCTATTATAGTCCTCTTGTCCTGTTAAATTCATCGCATTTTTTCCCCATTAATTATTCTGGTGGGTGTGATTTATTGAACACACACATACACACACAGACAGAGAATAGAAGATGGAAACGAGGATGTTGATATTAGCATGTGTGCACATAAGATAAATGGGGGGAAAGAAAAGCAAACCTGCAGTATCCCATAATCCGAGGTTGACGGTGCTCCCGTCAACCACGACGTTAGCGCTGAAGTTGTCGAAGACTGTTGGGACATAGTCCTGTAATGTAATGCAGAAATGGAGGATAAGGCACGAGTTAGTAGTGCAAGATGCAAAAGTGTTTGCTTGCTGTACATCTCTACTCCTATAAAAGATTGAGTTGGTGGTGATGGTGTGCCTGCCAACTTGCGTTTACGGACGTCCGATCTGTATCCAACGTACAAGAGACAATCTGTGACAATTTTGCAAAAGACGCCCAAACTTCGTAGACATTTACAGATAAGGCCTTCTATATTCTGCCCAATCTCTCTGTCGGCTCATCCACCCAATCTCCAGAGAAAAGGGGCGCGCACCGCCGGCCGGCGGCGGTGGAGCCGATCTGGCGCGGTGGCCACCGGTGCCGGCCACCCCCAGCGCATCTGACGCCTCCCCTCAACCCCACCCACCACAGAAACCACAATCTCCTCCTCTTCGCCGTCTTCTCCGTTGCCTTCACAATCTCCTCCGACGCAGGCATCGGCAAGCACGCCGACGATGTCATTCTGCCACCAGCGCTTCTCCTGCTTCGTCCTCAACTGCAGCAGGGTTCCATCGCTCACTATCTCCACAACCCCCCCTCTCCTCGCCATCTGTTTTTCCCCCTTTTACCCGTCTCCTTCGGCTACCTGCGCAAGTACACCACCGACGTCGTTGATGCCCCAACATCTCTCCTATCTCCTCTCTTTCCTTCTACAGCAGGCCCACCGCCCGCCCACCACCACCACATTCCCCTCCTCATTCCCGTCCCTCCCGACGGCGACTTCTAGAAGTATGCCGCCGCCTGCGACCTGCTCAACTCTGAGGCCATGACGCCACCTACTGCTATTTCCCCTTCCCGGCCGACGCGCTCCACCCCCTGTTCTGGTGTGATGGTTGATGTGGAGGTGCTACGGCCTTCCCTTGCCAAAACTTATCCCGCCCAGCCCTTGGCGCCTCCCGAATTCAAAATTTGCTGCCACCAAGTCTGCGCCTTTTTGGAACCGTCCAGAAACCACACTTGTAGCCCAATATAAACCAGGTGGGTATGCAGATGGGACTCATACTGCCCGAACTAGGCCCAAGAAGCCATACACTGGTCACACTCTCACATATTGAGATCAATCAGAGTGTGAGGAGGTAAGATTCGCTGCCCTTCTCGTTTGGCGTCAAGGACCAAGGTATGGTGGTCTGACAAAGATTAAAATCTCATCTATCTGACTGTCTCTCAACAGCTCTTGTTTCATTTCTGTCAGGCAATCCTTACTTGTGCAAATGCAGAGATAAAGCGTTAGTGGTAACATGGAGAACTGTCTTCTGTGCCCAAGTCACCACTTCTTGAGAAATAAAACTTTAAGTATTAAAAGGAATCACAAGCGTTGAATAAAACTTTTAGAGTTATAAGTGCAGCATGCTTCATACTTCATCATTCTGGACATTTTTGCTGTGAATGTATTTTGTTTTCCCACCACCGGCTGCAAGTTACGAATCGTAATATGGGTCCTGCTTGTTATGATAGGCTCTTGTGAAATGCTGTGAAAATTTGATTCTGTTTGGGTTTGTACTTTTTGGCTACCAAACCTATGCATATCATTTGTTTTATCCGTATTGCTTACCAGATGATGATGAAATTTATCATGTGGAATTTCATATCTGAGTCGCAACTCATTTAGTGGTATGCTCACATCCGTTAAGTGCTTGGAGCAAGGAGAAAGCTCGAAAGATAAATCATAAGTCGAAACCATGTGCCTATAAAATCCATATGTGTCTTTGAATTGTTTTTTTAGTAGTTGTCTTTGTTACTCTTTCTGTTCAGATAAAACATATGATGCCTACAACAGGTCGTTTTGTCATCAGCACCTCTCCTTTGCTTGGTAGCTCCAGTCCAATTTTTCAGGCTGCACCCTGGATATTTGTTTCCATGCTGTCTGTTATCGACATTTTTTTTGTGCAGAAACCTGGTTGATGTAAGAAGTTACAAGTAGTCCAGTACTGATATTTATGTATGTCCGTACATGTGAACTCATCCCTTCTATATACATATGTTTCAAAATCATTTTTTACTTGACATTTGGTTTCTTTGCTCTGTACAATGTTCTGCAACTGTTGTCCATTGTTTTTTTCCTTTGCCTAATTATACTACAGACCTCTACATGCTCCTTGTTTTGCCTGTCTAAATATACTACAGGAGACTATATATATGATGTCTTGATTGTCCGATGTGCTTTTAGGTGAGAAGATGAAGTACTGGTTGTCTGATGTTCTTTTAGGTGGAAACATGGATGAAGCAAGAGCTTAGGTATTCAGTCAAACACTTGTACTTCAATCTTTTTTCTTTGTTCTGGAACCATAAGTGTGTGCTCAGGCTATATGATATGTTTGTCATTTGGATATATTAATTGCTGCCATTTACCTTCACATTTAAGTCTGGTTTGCCTAATATACTAGCACAAAGTGAGCTGAATCCTTGGATAAAAGGTAACATAATAGCTTGTTTTGTTTTCTAGAGCTGTTCAAAGGAAAGCAACAATTCCGTTGCAGTAGTTGCTCTAAGGCTGTACATGATAATATCTATTGAAGATCGATGACCGTGCCAGTGATTTGGGAGATTTGGCGTGAGCGCAATCGCCACATTTTTCACAAATTAGAGTTGTTAGCTTGCCATTGACGAAGCCAATGTTGGAAGAATACCGGCGCACGACACATCATTCAGTAATAGTAATCTAGCTTGGTGGTCTTCGGGCATTCTGTGTGTTTCTCCTTTGCCTTTCCGGTGTTTTGTACATTGTTCACTCATGTCAATAAAATCGAAGTTGTCTGGTGCAATTGCCAAATGTTTATGGATAGATTTTCTATTTGCCACATTTTCTGTGTCCCCTCAATATGGGAGAGCAATGAAAAAACTGTGACAAGTCTTCTACAAGTTGAAAATGTGGAAGAAAATGTTTGGCTTCGACAAGGGGGTTATTAGTTGGAAACCATGTGTTTGATTTTGCTCAGTGTGTATCTATCAATGATATAACATCACATTGATCAAGATCTTGGTACGTCTTTTGTTGTTCATTAGACTGCTGACCCTTGAGTAAACAATGTTCCACGAGATCTCTTGTAATTCCGTGGCGCAGCACGGGCATCTTACTAGTTGGATATGAAAACGCAGTTGCTTTAGCTATTCATCATATTGGGTGGCAGATGAAGATGAACGAACGCAGTAGAAAAAAATAATCTAAAAGTCATTGTGTGCGTGTGCGTGTGTGTGTGTGTGCCTAGAAACAGGGAGGGAGGGAGAGAGGTTTCATGTGACAGCAATAGATTTGATTTGATTTGGTTCATTGTTGGGTGGAGATAAACTCCTCACTTGGAGTCGGAGACTAGCAGGGATATATAGTAAGTAGTATTTGAAAAGTAGCTAGTAAATTGAGTGAGGCTAGCATTAGCATAGCAGGGTACTCTAGTTGGTTAAGTCAGATTCTCCCTCCCTCCTCATCAACCTCCAACACAATCCATGAATCAATCTTCCTTTTCCCTAGTATTTGGAAGGCTTAGCATCGGTTGAACTGAAAACAAAGGAAGTAATCATGATTCACCTTGTAAAAGTGGGGAATCCATCCATATATCCATCTGTCTTGTTCTAAGAAGGGGATCTATCTATGTATCTATCCATCCATCCATGTACATGTACATGTATGTAGGGTGGAGGTAGTTGAAGAAGGAAGGGAAGGACGCAGCTTACGGTGGGGAAGGTGTTGGATGTGTAGGAGATGAGGAGGCAAGTCTTGCCGACGGCGCCGTCCCCCACCGTCACGCACTTGATGAACCGAGAAGCGCTCATCGCCGCCCCCGCCCCCGGCTTGGCCGGCCCTTTTCTTTCTTGAATTCAATTTAATTCACCGCTCCCTCCTGGTCCTGGGTCGATCGATTCCCGGCAGGCCCCCGCTGCGCCAGATCGATCCGGGACCAAAGGAAAGGAAGGGAAGGGGCTCCTCGCTGCGGTGCGGTGCGGTGGTTGCCTTCCGTCGGCTGCGGCTGCGGCTGCGGCTGCTGTTGCGGTGGGGGAAGGAAGAAGCTCAGCTCAGCTCAACAGCCACAGACAGCGAACAGAGCAGAGAAGAGCAGAGGAGGATTTGCAGTTAGGCCCCTCCCTTCCCCCACTATCAGTACCACTACCACTCGCTCACTGTTCCAGCCGATGGAGATGGAGATGGAGATGGAGATGGCTCAATTGTTTGCTTGCTTGTTTGTTTGTCTGGTGTGGGCGTGCGTGATTCCCCCCTCACAAAACGCATCCATCCTCTCTTTCTTTACTTTTGGTGTCACTTCTACAACGTCAGCACAAATCCAGCCTCTCTCTTTCATTTGACCCTTAATCTATACCTCTATATCTATACTTATACCTATATATATACCTAATAATAATCCATCTTCAAGAATTCGTCCGATTAAGCAGTTAAACTTACTGATTAATCCCTACTCGTAGGATCACTGAGTAGCCGATAAACCGATAAATCATCCGATTAATTGATTAAATGGCCGATTAACTTGCCAATTAGCCTATTAATTCCCCACTCGCCAGCCAACCGAGCAACTACCGGTTAACGATTTCCTCAACAATGATAATAATAAAGGGAAAATTTTGTTTTTGCCGCTCTAGCTTTTGACCACTTTGCTTATGCCATTTTAGAATTTGACATTTTACTTTTGCCAAGACGTGGACATACACACGTTAGTTGGACTCTTATTTAGCAGAAAACAAAACTACTAATGCTAACCACTTAGCTCAATGGGATTATTTGTACATCAGAAACCCGACAGACAGGCCATCCCAGTCAGTTTTGGAGGAAATGCTTACATGAGATATATTGTATCAGCTTGTTTCATAAATTTAGTGTATTGGTAAAACAAACTGTATTTTCTCTCAATAATCCCATATTTAGCCTTTTTTTTTAAGCCCTGCTGTAGGCCAAGCGGTTGGAAATGCTCAGAGCAGAGCAACAAAAACGGCGTGACAAGTGAGTGAAAAGAAGGCAGGAAATTAATAGGTAAGATCACTAAATAGACGTTAGGTAGGCACATATTCACTCCCGTATACATGACTATAAAAACCAGCGGGGAACCAACGCTGGATATGCAGTGCTAGTTGCGGGGAGGTTGGAGAACACAGCAAATGAGCGAGCAGAGTAGCATCAAGAGTTCATTGTTTTTGAGAATTCAATTCCACAATAAAATCTGATGGGAATAGGAGGCATTGGAAATTTGGCTGCGACTAGGTACTGGAAATACGCCGTTGAACAGAAATTTGATTTCTGAGTAATATAACCCTTTTTCCCCCAAAAAGAAAATCTGATTTCGTCTTGTTATCACGTCACTCCATATTGTGTTCTTTCTTTCTTGCCCGTTCCATATGGACGGAGGGATGCTTCCTGTCATTGCACATGACATGTGGGCCTATCTGGACTGCTCTCGCCTTAGCTACTTGTAGGGTTAGAACTAGAGCTATACAGGCTTGTAGATAGCCACAAGATTTCTGTATGATAGGCAGAAGGAACATGATTCTTTGTTTACCGGCTGGGAGACGATCATCGAGAACGAATTGTTTAACTAGTATGGATGAGGTCTTAGCAATACATTTGATATGTCACTACCGGAATAACCTTATACACCTACGGCCTTATCTATGCCGACGGCTGCCGTAGGCATAGATGGAGCTATGCCGACGGCCCGGGGAATACCGTCGGCATAGAAAAGTCGTCGGTATACTTCCATCTATGCCTACGGCAGCCATAGGCATAGTAAGGCCGTCGGCATATATCGATCTATGCCTACGGCAGCCGTAGGCATAGTTAGGCCGTCGGCATAAAGGTGGCCCTCGTGGCCAGGGACAGACGGCGGGCTGACGCCGTCAAATCTATGCCGACGACCCTGACGGCGGCCGTCGGCATAAATATCATATGTTTTTTATTAGGAGCTGCCACGTGGCAGAGCTATGCCGACGGCAAAGCCGTAGGGCATAGTTTTCCATCTATGCCTACGGCTTGCCGTAGGCATAGCCACGCCACGTGGCACCTCCTGGTAGCCCCTGGCCAAGAACTATGCCTAAGCATAGATATCATCTGTTTTTTATTTTAAATTATTTTTTGTTTTTAAAAGTTAAAATTTGACTAATTTAAATCTAAAACTTATCTAAACTTAAACATACACAAATTATACATCGACTTGGGGTAGAATTATCCATAGATTATAAATATATAGTTTGTTTTTGTTTTTGAGTATGTTAGAAATGTGACCTCATGTGCTTTTGCATATAGGTCCTTATAATTTGTTAACATCATAAGTAATTGATACTTGGATCGATTTTGACAAATTTTATATGGTTTTTATCAAAAACTTGAAAGGATTCTGTTGCTATACTATTTTACAAATTTGAACAAACTTAAATCATGTTTGCTTCAAATTTACAAAAAACACACTTTTGTTTTGAATTTTTTGTAAATTTTTCATTCCTTGGCCAATCGAGACAAATTTTATATCTACATCCATCAGATTGTTTCAAGGATTGTGGTGGCAGGCGCAAACACCCGACAACCGGCTCCGGAGTGTGACTCCTTCATGGACGGCGATGCCGTCGGCACTTGGAGGGGGGAAACGGCCATGTTGGGTCGACACGGAGGGAATCTTATGGTGGGTTTGGCCCAAACCTTGTTCTCAAGTGTTTCTATAGGCTGACCTATCATAACCAGGTGAAAACATCCATTGGTTAAATCCCGTCTGACGAAAGTCAAAGGCGTAGATCTCCGGGTCAACTGGTCCAGGGTTAGGCCAGTTGGGGGCCTTCGGGGGGTAGCAATGCCACCAGAGCATTACGACGGGTCCTCATACATGTTTTAAGGTGTGGTGGCATGTCTGAAGAGACAATACGTGGCTCCGGTGTGAGGTCCCCACCCCTCACGGACGACAATAAAATCGAAATAATCCCTCTATGGTTTTGGCGTTGCATGAATATTTTTGAACACTCGAAGCATGATCAATTCATGAAACTTTTACACAGTGTAGACACATGTGAAATAATCGAAATAATCCTCGTGTAAAAAACTCATGATTTTATTGCACTCCGAGTATTTAATAATATTCACGCCGCATCGTTACCGCAGAACGTCTACTACCGTGTCATCGCCGTCCGTGAGGGGGGCCACACCCCAGAGACGCGTGTCGCCTCTTCGGATATGCCACCACACCGTACGGCATGTATGAGGTCCCGATGCGACGCTCTGGTGGCATTGCTACCCCCCAGGACCCCCGTCCCGCCTAACCATGTAGCGTTTGATCACGGGATCTAGCCCTTTCACTTTGCACGAACGGGCTTTGACCAGTGGAACTCTCCACCCGGTTGTGTTAGGTCAGCCCATAGGAACACTTTGGAGCAATATCCGGGCCAAAGCCACAGCAAGATCCCCTTCGTGTACACCCGACGCGTCCGTTTCCCCCCTCCAGGTGCCGTCGGCGGCTCCGTCCGTGAGGGGGGACACACCCCGGAGATGCGTGCCGGGCGTTTGCAACCGCCACAACACTTCCAGACTTGTGAGAGGCAGCCTACGCAAGATTTGGCGGCATGCTAGCCCCTGGAGGCCACCGGCCACAGTCGTAGACACGCGAAGAGCAATCCACGTAGAGGGAAGTGTTCAAATACTTCTCCAGCACCAAAAATTATGAAAAATTACCATCAGCCCTATAGCACATGTGCCCACGTCGTGTAAAAAACTCATGATTTTATCGCGCTTCGAGTATTTAATAATATTCACGCCGCATCGTTACCGCAGAACGTCTACTACCGTGTCATCACCGTCCGTGAGGGGGGGCACACCCCAGAGACGTGTGCCGCCTTTTCGGACATGCCACCACACCGTACGGCATGTATGAGGGCCTGGTGCGACGCTCCGGTAGCATTGCTACCCCCAGGGCCCCCGTCCCGCCTAACCCTGTAGCGTTTGACCATGGGATCTAGCCCTTTGACTTTGCATGGACGGGCTTTGATCAGTTGAACTCTCCACCCGGTTGTGTTGGGTCAGCCCATAGGAACACTTTGGAGCAACATCCGGGCCAAAGCCACAGCAAGATCCCCTTCGTATAGATCCAATGCATCCGTTTCACGCCTCCAGGTGCCGGCGGCGGCGCCGTCCGTGAGGGAGGCCACACCCCGGAGACGCGTGCCGGGCGTTTGCAACCGTCACAACACTTCCAAACTTGTGAGAGGCCGCCTACGCAAGATTTGGCGGCATGCTAGCCCCCGGAGGCCACCGGCCACAGTCGTAGACACGCGAAGAGCAATCCGCATAGAGGGAAGTGTTCAGATACTTCTCCATCACCAAAAATTATGAAAAATTACCATCAGTCCTACAACACATGTGCACACGTCGTGTAAAAACCTCATGATTTTATCGCGCTCCGAGTATTTAATAATATTCACGCCGCATCGTTATCGCAGAACGTCTACTACCGTGTCATCGCCATCTGTGAGGGGGGCACACCCCGGAGACGTGTGCTGCCTCTACGGACATGCCACCACTCTGTACAGCATGTATGAGGGCCCGGTGCGATGCTCCGGTGGCATTGCTATCCCCCAGGGCCCCCGTCCCGCCTAACCCTGTAGCGTTTGACCATGGAATCTAGCCCTTTGACTTTGCACGGACGGGCTTTGACCAGTGGACCTATCCACCCGGTTGTGTTAGGTCGGCCCATAGGAACACTTTGGAGCAACATCCGGGTCAGACCCACAGCAAGATCCCCTCCGTGTAGACCCGACGCGTCCGTTTCCCCCGTCCAGGTGCCGGCGGTGGC